TTTATGATTCATTTCTTATAGATGTATCATATAATCATCATAATTGATAAGTTCTTTCCCTTTGAGATCTATTCAAAATTATCGGTTTTAGTTGTTATACAAGATCGTTAGTGATCACATCAGATAGTTTATTAATATTATTTTATTATTCACCCTCATCAATTCATTCAACGATTTTATAAACAACAACTTATCGAATAAAAAATAATAAAGAGTATCATCTTGTATCTTCTTTATATCAAAATTAATCTTCTGATATTTTTTCTCTTATTGATTTTATCATTTTTTAAGAATATTATATTATTATATTCCACAATCCTTATATTATGATTAGGGTAATAAAATCTATATCTATTGGATTTTTTAGATAACCAAAAAAATATTCAAAAATAGTTCTTGGATCTAACTTCTTTTCTTGTGGATTGAAGACTCTTATTTTTATAGGATAACCCTAAATATAAAAATATTTCAAATTGAGTTTTCTATCAATATATAATTCAAATAGAGTTGATGAAACTGACTCACTACAAACTCTATTCAAGATATACATATATGTCCTAAGAGTTTCACTATACATTAATTTAGGTACAAAGAAATAATGTATCAGACTCTTAATTATATCCATAATAGTACAATTTCATCTTTCAACAATATTATTTTGTTATAGCCCACCTAGTAAGGCATACAAACCATAAATATCTTGCTTTTCAAAGAATCTAGTAAAGGGACTAGGATTCTGACCTACTTCATTATATTCATTATAAAATTTATCACCCTTGTCAGATTTGATAATTTTAATTTTTTTATCTAAGTATCTCTTGACTTTATTTATGTACACCTCAAGAGTTTCAATAGCTTAAGATTTTTCATATATTCGAGACACAGTCATATCTTGACAAGTTATTTATAAATATAATGAAATATATTTATGAGAAATATGAAGTGACCTATAGATATCAGTATAAATAATCTACGTATGAATAATCTCAAGAGTGTTAATAGCTTAAGATTTTGCATTAGATACATATAGTCGTATTTTGACAAGTCATATGTAAACATGATAAAACATCTCTCTCCACTAATAAAGGAAATATGAAGTGGAATGAAGATATTAGTACAAATAATCTCAAAGAGTTCTTTACCTCTTATGGTATTTTTCTTTTTGTTTTTAGTTTGCTTTCCTTTAATAACTATGCAAATATTATCCTTTACTAATCTTTTAATTTTTTTTAAAGATATACCCCAAACATTTATGCCATAAAATAAAATCTTATAGGGTTACTAAATTCTTTGCAAACTCATGATTCAAATTAATTATATATAAACTATAATATAGAATTTCAAAATCAACCTTTAGTGAATCATAGAATATACTGAGTTTACCATCATTAAGAAAAAGATAATATCCTAACTCTTCTAGATATAAAAACTAAACTTTTAGAAAGAATAGAAAAAAAGGCATGTGTCCTCTGTTGAATCTTGGATTTTGATGATATCAATTATTTATAGACCAATATGCTTTTGAAATAAGTGACACAGGAAATACATCGATCAAATACTCAAACCATCAAGGGTAAATTATCAAAGTAAGAGAATTAGACGTGTTAAGAAAAGTATCACGTCAAAAATTAAATGTTGAGAAAAAAGATTGGTTGACATGTAGAAGATTGTACTTCATACTATAAGTTCAGGCATCATGCTAGAAGGATTGAGTATTACACTAAAAGATCGAATATCATTGGAAAGTCGATATGCTGATAGATCGGGCGATATACTAAAGGAAAGAATGATATTCTAGAAGTTCGGACAAAGTGTTGGAAGATCAAACGACATGCCAGAATGGTGTACATATTGAAAGCTTAATTGTGCCAAATATGTGATTAGATTGTTAAAGTCTTGATCAAGATCTTTTTGGGCCGAAAGCATACCAACTTGTCAAGAAAGCTAATGGGCTTGGACCCAAGCCAAACTAAGTCGCTAGAAGGCCAAAATAATAGCCTTGAGCTAGTCCAGGTGGTGGTACCAACTGAGTCAATCAACATGCACAAATAGTACTTATTAGCACTACTGACGATGGTACCAACTATATAGGTGGTGATACTACCCAAAATTCAAAAAAATGTGATAATAATATATTCAAAAGTCTAAAATTATGATGTCAAAATTTATGATAGTAGTACCGTCGGGTGTCAATGGTAGTATTGCTCGTACCTCGAAATTTTTGAGGATTTAAAATTTTTGACTCTATTTTAAGCCTTTTGAGGCCTATAAATACCAACCTAAGGATTGGTTGATATAGCATCAAATTATAAGTTTATGAAGGGTTATAGCTATTGAAAAATCTTGGGCAGCATCATAAGTACAGTGGAAGAATGGAAAATAAAATCCTAGAATTTTTCATAGAAAATGTTTCATTGTCGTGTGAAGATTGGTGTGCAAAAATCGTAAGACCAAAAAACTATGCATATATGAAAGATGTATTACTTAGGGAGATTGTATATATCCTTGAAATCCTACAGATCTATATGAGAGGATGAAGAATGTCAACTATTCTCCTCTTTAGTGATGATCCACATGGCAGAGGCTATGAATATGCTCGTCAAATCGTTACATAATCTACCTTTTCACATGATCAAGAAGGGGCCATCCCTTCTTGTTGTCCATGCCTCAAACTAGGGTTGTTGGCTAAGGAAGAGAGGGAGAGAGGAGTATAGAAGGTGGCAGCCAAAAAGGGTTTAGCCAATTGCTTTTTGGTTCCCTCTTATTTATAGAGGCCCCTTGTTATCTTAACCATAATGGATCCTACCCTATTGGGTGCTGAATCTCCATCCAACTACCCAAGTCTCTTGAATTAGTATATCGCTATCCAATAATCTCTTATTGGCTCTTATTGGATCTTATCCATAAGATCCAATAATTCATAGGTTTATTGGATATCCAATAAGATAGGGGCTCTAATAGATATCTCATATCATAACCTTTACCCGTCGCAATACCTATCATATATGTGTGACCCTTTAGGCCTAATATCGAGCTGGCCATGAGTTATACCTATCAGAACTCCTTTTGACTCAGTGAATTATTATCTCTATAATAATTCACTCGACTCATCGACTACGAACGTACTAGGCCAGTACACCACAGTCCCCAAACAATATAAAGGAATCAAATTTATTGGACTTGTCTATCCTCAATTAATATATATTTATAGTCCATCATCCATCTAATATCTCAGAGACCATATACTGGGCATGGTATTGTTAGGCCCATATAGAATTTACTTGAGTCTTGCTTTAATCGGACTCTCTTGGAGAACACTTTCTCTCTCAATCCAAATGACCATGGCTAGGGATTTGCCTAAGTAAGAACACACAGGATATTCCTATCATAACACTAAAAGAGAATGATCCTTTATCGACACTCAATAGCATACTAGTCTATCCGGTTATATCGATGTCCCTCTTGGGTAACATATGATCAGGATTATTTAGAGTTTGTGTTTAGAGGTGAATTAGTCTCATTATCAAGATCTCATCATGATCTGATTCGAATTACGTAGATCCATCGACATCACAATATATTTATACATCAAGCAATATAAAGTAAAAAAAATATAATAATAATAATAATAATAAGTAAAATAGAGTGTATATCATGTCATATGTGTTATCACTCATGTGATTTGCTTATAGGGCATATATAACTAGCAATCTTCCACTTGATCTAAATCCAATCACCTATGTGTCTTATTCCCATCAGACTCCCGTGACACTCAAAGATAATATGAGATAATAGCTTTATTAATAGATCTATGATGTTATCTTTGGATAGAACTTTTTTCACTACTATATATCCTTAAGTCACAATCTCTTTAATAGGTTGGAATCTCCTCATAACACTTTTGATGAGACCCGAATTTTCTTATTCGAAGAATCTATTATAAATTAGTGAATATCTATAAAATTAATAGCGGAGAAACCGTCATAAAAAAAAAATTCGCCTTTTGAGCCCAGCCCTGAGTCTACCCAATATAGTCTAATGTGCATCCTAATTCATTGTAAGTGGACGGCGGAGAAGCGTAGTTAAAAATTTCACCTTTTGAGCACAGCCTTGAGTCTTACCCAATGTAGTCTAATGTGCATCCTAATTCAAATTAGGATGCTTTCCGGTTTAAGCGTTACCAAAATAATTAAGCCATCCACGTAAGCCGACAGCACATGGGCTACAATTCAAGTTTTACTTGTTATTTTTGGTAAATTGCAACAAAACAAACAAGAAGGAAAAATAAATAAAAATTCAAAATCCCATCCAATATTTTTCATATCTAAATTCATGATAATGATATATCAAACTCACTTATCAAAAACTACTACGAACTCGAAATCTCATCCGATATATGTTTATTAGACCTCAAAACTTAATCCAATATATTTTTTAAAGTACTGACTAATATAACTAATAAATATTTTGATAATTAATCATAAAATTCTATGCTCTAATCCTGCCTTCACTTTTTTGTTTTTTTTTTAAAGGCGAAAGTGATATCTGTACACTTTATTCACCTTCTTGTCGTTGTGCTAAATATGACCATATAATTGTAGAACTGGTGACAGTCGTGAATGCATCAGCCCTACTAATTGGGAAAATGCAGTGAATCAGATCGGTGAAGAGATGATTAAGGAAGATGCCTAGCCTTGGCTTGGGCCCCATAGGCAAGACGTACTCATTCCAGCTACCATCAACGACCTGCCCTCCTGCCAACCGATGCGGCTCCGCCCCAATTAGGTAATGGTTGGGCATCAAAGGTATGACGCTCAGGCAGGTATACCATTAGTCTGATGATCCCGAATGCAACTTTCATCAGTATATTACAATATAATGCCATTTAATGATAAAGAGAAATACAAACTGATTCAGTAATTACAGAGAATCTTGCGGGTACCTAGACAAAATGCAAATCAAATCAGAAGCTTACACTAATTCCTACTGAAACCAATCAATAAATAACTAACAGAAATTAAATGAATGAGAATGTTATATAAGTTAGCATACATAATTCCTTACTTAAATTCATCCAACAATGGATTAGCTACCTACAATTTATAAGCAAGTGTCCTGACCTTTTTACATTCTTATTCTTGATCAAGAAGTCGATGAGAATATGAAACTAGCACAATGAGAGGGACATACTCAAATATACCTAATCATTAATTTTCTCTTCTACAGCAGTGTTCCTCTAGCCAAGATATGATGTCATCAAGAACCTTAAAAATCATCTCATCTGATTCACCTTCCAGAATAGAATGATATGCATCTTTGTAAAGGCGTAGTTTCTTGTCTAAACTGGTTGCCTTTTCGTACAAAGCCTTGCTTACTGAAGGATCCGTTACAATATCAGCTTCACCATGTAGAATTATTAGTGGCAGGGAGATCTGGAAAGGAAGAAACAATTACTCCTAGCAGCTACACCAACCAAACTGTAAGTTATAAATCCTGCTGTGAGGTCACACTTTAGTCCACATATAGTGAGGAAAAGTGAACCTACTGGCTGCTACTATTCCCCATGGGGATTACAAATGTAATATAAATGAATTAGCAATGGGCAAACATGGTAGCATGTTCATGGTTAGAACAGGAACAACACATGTATTTTTCTTTACAGATCAATTCAGAGATTATATAACAAAATTTTCTTTTATAATAAAAAATTGAAGAGAAGGTGAGAAACTCGTACTTCTTCTAGGCGGTGTTCAATCTCTTGGGTTGTTCTAAGCATCTCTACGGCTGTTCTCAACCGTGGTTTATCCTTGTAAGCAATAACGTTATACGAGCACTTCATCCAACAGAGAAAAGCAACATGTAAGCTTGCAAATAGAGAGAGGCAGATCTCTGTCCCCGGTCAGAGAAATAGTTGAAGTATATGAATTTCAAACATTAGATTGCAAACTAACCTGTTCTCGTTTCTTGATATCCTTAAATGCCATCTCTGCTAAATCCTTCTGTGGAACTAATTTCTCCCTCGGAAGAATCTTTGCTATGCAAATTAGGATTTGCTGGACAGGCCAAGGTGGAACAACATCGTCTGCCATCTACATTGAAAAGATATTAGAGTAAGAAATTGCAGAACACCAAGAGATTTCAAAATTCAACCATGATTACCTTACACATTGGTGCAACCAGTATAGCACCATCCCATGAATGAGGCTGTTTAAAGTGCACCTTTAATGCAACTGCCCCACCCATAGATTGCCCAAATAGGAAACTAGGTAGGCCTTCATAATCAGGATTCTCTGCAAGAAAATATAAGTGAACATTAGATAAACAATACCACAACAACAACAGTCAACCATAAGATTCCAACTATTTGAGGTCATTAGATAAAATAATGGTTGATGAGAACAAGTCTTTTATAATAGTAAGATTGCTCCTCTGCAACCGAAACGAGGCGATTAGAGTTTCAGTCACGAAAATAAACTCTTTATGCCTAGAGGTAAGGTCATATACAATGACCCCTCCGCAAACCACATTAGCAGGAGCCTCATTCCCTGAGTTCCCCCTTTTAAATAAACAGTAGTTGGGAAGACAATTTCAGAAATGAGCCAATTATTATAGCATACTCCAATTTCGAGCAAACACTTTCACAGCTCGTTTTTTTGGGGCTTGCTTTTACTTGGGAAGTAGAAGATGAACCCAGCTCAGCTCTGTAGCTGTAAGTTTGAGTCTGAAATGAGCAAATCAAATCTTATAAAGTACCAAGACATCATTACAGGAATCACCTTAGATTGTCCACGAATTGACCTTTTAGATCCACAATAAAACATTTGAATAATGCCAAGGTAAAAAGTTAATTTCCTATGAGAAGTCATATCCTTGAAAAGAAATTAATTCATCTTGGATCACACCTATCCTAGATCCTCAAAGGCCCAAATCCTATCTAATTAATCCTGCTTCATGGAATGCTTCTATCAACAATTAAAATTTTAGGGTCTCTATGTCCTCTCCACCTTTTATGTATGCAATCACTATACAATTAATACGAGGGCTTATCTAATGGAAGTAACTTCCTCCTTGATGTACAATACATATGAAAGTTGCAAACTCATTCCCTAATTAAAGCAAAAAGTACAACTTTGAAGATGCAACCCAATATATGTACCTAATACCTTCCAACCCAGTGCATATTCTACAATCACATGAACATGTCTGAACCGATATCACATGAGAATATCAAACTCTTTAAAGGTCAGTAAAATTAATCTAGAGGTGTAAAACATATAGTGATGCAATAAAACATAAAAGCAAGAAGTTGGCATCATGTGCAGGAATTTGCCAGTGATTCTTCTCCTCATAGTAACTTTTGGCATCCGCATTTAACAACACACCTTGCAGTTCCTGTCTAACTTTGAAGATCAGCACTCTAAATGTAAAATAATTAATGCCACATACATTATCCAAGGCATGTCTTCGATAATCTGGGCACGGAGCTTGAAAGTTGAGACACATAAATTAGCATCGGCAAGCTTCATCAAGGTGAACATCAGGCATGTATCTTGTGAGCCTTTTCAAATCAAGTAGGTAACTAAGGCATGTATATGAAATCCTAGAAAAAAAACATTTTCCTTACTCTATTCCAATTGCTTGCTATTGTCAATTGGACAAGACTTGTTATTTGTGTTTTTAATGCAACTGGTTCTCAGAAAATTAAGTTATAGGAGTACTTGAAAATACATAGAACAACTTACCTTTAATTTTTGAGAAGCATTCTATTACATCATCTACGAGAGAATCAAAACTTGGTATATATCCATGGAGTCCTTCTGAAAGACCAAATCCAGGGTAATCCATTGCAAAAACTCCATATCCAACCGATGCAAGCTTCTTTGAAATTCCTAGAAAAAGCATGAAATTGGTGTGTTAAAATCAAGACTTTCAATGGAGAGCTAATGCTCATCAATGACAGTGACTGGTTGGAGTTAATACCTTCGAAAAAAAATGTACAAGTGTCTCCATAACCATGACAGAAACAAACAAGCCCCTTTATCTTACAATTTTCCGGAAGCCAACTTTTTGTGAAAATCTCCAGACCTCTAGAGTTTACCTCATATGACTACATATTATGAGTTTAATCAGTATCATACTCTCAAAGGAACAAAATGAGAAAGGAACATGCTTAACCAAATATGATGACACCACAAAATGTTAAGGTACAGCAATGAGTTTCTACATTACACATATGGTATAGAGACTTAGTAAATTTTTTTCCTTTTAACATTAGTAATCTTCTCAAAAAGATCTTGAAAGAGTTGGATCTAGGTTATATTTTGATTAAGAGCATAAATTTATCATGTTTAAAATTTATAAAGACAATGGATCATAAATGTAATGGAGATGCTAAATGCCAAAGATGAGAAGCACAGAAGCAACAAAAAAGATACTTACCTCTTCTATCTTAATTCCCGAATATTGGGCCTGCAGAGAAGGAAAGAGAAAAAGGTAAGAACTCTCCACCAGTGATTCAGATTCCCCATATTAGATCTTTAATATAGTTTAACCAAAAAAAGATGTGCTTTAGGAAACTTAATTTTCACATATAGGAGATAACATACTTGTACAGGATGGAAAAATTACAAGAAGGAATCCATGAATTAAGAAGATTCAAGAGGATAAAGCGGAAAGCTAAGATATATAAGGATAAAAAAAATGAAAAGGAAAAATGTATTTTCAGTTGAAAAAGAAAAATAGTAGAGTTCTTTACCATTCTCGGGCAACTAATTGTGTGCTTCAACAATGGATAGTGTTTTATCATAAAGTTTGCATGATTTAGGTGCAAAATCCTATCTGCTAATTCAGGGAACCCACTTTGATGTTTATATGAACTTCTGTTTTTGTATTATAAATTCTCATAAGCAATGACGCAAATGGAAGTTACTAATAAGAGGTTCCAGAAATGCAAGTTTGTTCTATTGCATGTCAAATAAACCAAGATGTGGAGTATTAGACTGTTGCATAACACCATCAATGAATTTGAGAAACTTGAAGCGAGTGAATAATGCATTCATGGTGTCCTTTCTCTCCAGCATAATGACTTTCATTACTAGTCTTTTGTCAAAAGACAACACAATGTGGTCATATGAACACAAAATTAGGAATACACCATCAAGCACTAACCTATAATAGTATCAATGAGGAGAAGATCAGACATGAGCATATAAGGTGCTAAATGCATGTACATTTATGACCAGATTCCTCTTTTATTTATAGATTTTATATGAAACTACTTTCAGTTACCACGAAAATGTCCAACAACCAGTGTAGTCAAAGGCACTAGGCGCCAAGATGCCAAAACGCCCGATGCGCTCACCCGAGCAAAGTACGATAGCCTCAAATATTAAAATTTAAAAAATATATATCATGACTGATAAATATGATCACTAAAAAATGACACATTAAATTTCTTTCATTTATCAAATTCAATTGTCCAAATCTAATAACAAAAATGACAAAACAAAACACTAGGAAGTAACAATAAGCCAATGAAAAATTCAATCCTTTACAAAATTCATAAGTTATATTAACAAAAAAATTAATATAGGAGGATGAAAAGGTGGTTGTTGGGGTATGAGGAGGGGGTTGCCGTCGATTGGGAGGGAAGCAAGGAGCTATATGAGGAGAAGGAGAGGGAGGAGGAGAGGGGGCTGTCGGGGTATGAGGTCTCGTTAGTTGGGAGGGAAGCAAGGAAGCTTTATGAGGAGGAGAAAGAGAGGGAGGAGGAGAGGGGGCTGTCAGGGTATGGGAGGTGGGTTGCTATCGGTTGGTTAGGAGGGGAGTATAGAGTTATCTGACGAGGGTGTGGAGGAAGTTGGTTGGGAGGAGGGTGTCTTGGATCAAAGCAATCAACAGCCACAAAGAAGAAGACATAGATTCAAAGCAATCTGCTACAAGCTTGAAGTCCTTCCAAAGTAGGAGTGACACTTTGCCGGCCGGCCCTAGCCTTCTTGCTTCTAGCCGAGAGCAAGAAGAAGAAGAAGAAGAGGAGAAGAAGAAAAATAACTCAGCAGATCCTTCAAGATCCAGTGGCCACTCTTTCCCTTCCGAGAGCAAGAAGAAGAAAAAGAAGAAGAGGAGAAGAAGAAAAGTCAGCAGATCCTTCAAGATCCAGTGGCCACTCTTTCCCTTCTCTTCCAACCGCAGGTTCTTCTTCTTCCAAATCACAGGAAACCTATTCTGCTTCACCAACATCCTTATTCTTCGAGCAACAACCTTTTTCCAGATCTCCAGCCGGTCTAGAGTCCAGATTTTGGCCCAGAGATAGGAGAAAAGAGGAGCAGGCAGCAACTGCTTCAAGGCAAGCTGCAGCCTACTCAAGCCGAGATCAGCAAGCTTCGTCTTCGTCTACGACATCAGAAGCTGCAACAGCAAGCTCCAGCATAAACAATCCCTTCCATGGCACTAAGAAGAGTTGCTGGCGGTTGAGAAGAAAGGAGAAGAGAAAGGGAGAGTTCGGCGGCAAGTTCACAGTCCTAATAGCCCACAATTGTCGTACAAGAAGTACATGCCTTTGTCACTCAAAAAGCCTTTGCTTAGTTCCCTGTTTTGGGTACTTTTATTTCAAAGCAAAGCAGATCGATTTTCCCTTTCAAATCAGTGTTTTCTAAAGCAAAAGATGCAACTCCTTGGCAATCTGCTCAGAGGAAGGTTCAACGTCATTAAGTTCTTCTCCCATACGGATCAAGTGGCACCAAAGCAACGATCCCTCACTTGTGGATGGTTACCAATAGGCAAAAGCAAAAGATGATGGAGACAAGCACATAGCAACGAAGGAGAAGGAGCCATCATTATCGAATTCTGAAAGTGATTTATCGAAGACGTGCAACGACAACAACGATGATAAAACTACGATACTGGTGGCAACGGTAAGGTTTCGACCTTTCAGAGTTGAAGCTTGGATCAACATACCCTCCTCTGATGGCTCCATCAACGACAAGGCATTGAATGCATGGCTTGATCAACTTGATACTTATTTTACTCTATAAAAGTGTAGCAACGAAGTCGCGCTCGTGCAGCTCAAGTTGATCGAACATGCTCTAGCATGATGGAACAAATATCTTAGATCCAATGGGACAATTCAAAAGGCTCATCTAACAGGATCTGATGGGCTACCTCGATGATTGGTGGAAAAGATAGCATAGCTTACATCAAGATAGTGACCAATTAGTGCAATACTACACCACCAAGTTTCATTGACAAGCGCTAACACTCAAAATCTCCCTTAACAACCACTTGACGATCATAAAATGTACAACTAGTTTACATGATCAAATCAATACCAAATTGAGCCTCTTTAATGCTTACAATGTCTCGATCATTAACGTGATGGCTATGGCAATCAAGACAAGAATTGCATCGATAGTGAGAAGACCACAAAGAGGCCAACGACAGCTACTCGAAAGCAAGGAAAATTTGAGGAACAGCAACTTTTTTTCCTAAAAAAGAAGTGACCTTTTATATGATCATTATAAAATTATAGATCACATCAGAGAAAAGTGTTAAAAGGTTCTCTAGAAACTCTTTCCAAAAAAAATGGTTAAAGAGCAGCCAAAGTCGACGAATAGCAATTGCGACTATTAACGATGACTCCAACGAACTCGTACTGATATCTCATGTGGACCAAAGTCTATCCCTGAGAGCAAGATCAAAGGCCATAGATTCAAGTCCGACCCAATGTTTTTAAAAGCGCTAGGTGCCAAAAGACACCAAGGTCCTAAAACGCCCAAGGCCCTCGCCTAGGTGCCCGCGTGAGCGAAGGGAGGAGCTCCAGAACATTAAAATTTAAAACATATATATTACAATTGAAACCTATACTAAATAGGGCTGTACTAATGGAGACCTATGCTAAACAGCATTTTCAATATGGTGCTAAACAGTTCTAACTAACAGAGTGATTGCATCGCCTTAATATGGTGAAGCGAGTAATCAAAATGAGAAAGAATGGACTAAGAAGAAGAGTTACTAACGACTATGAATGTAGGGGGCGGAGACGGCAACGGACGTAGGCGATAGCAATGGGGGAAGTTGCAAAGGTGGCATCGATGGAGAAAGGTATGAACAAAGGCGACGACAACGGAGGAGGTTGTTGACAAAGGCGACGACGATGAATGTAGGGTTTCACTTCAAAGACAAACTAGGGGGGTTGTTGTGTTAGGGCAAATTAGTTGGTTAAATTGAGGGAGGTGGGGTGTTGTGTTAGGGCAAATTAGTTGGTTCGATCGTACCAACTTGCTTGTTCAATCGAACTAGGCATGAACCCACACTCATCTTCACTCGAGCGAGCCTGGGCGATGCTTTATCAAAATGCCTTACCTAAAGGTTTTGCAAGGCAATCAAGCCTCGCCTCACCTCACCCGAGCACCTTTTGAAAACACTGGTCCGACCCTATCCAAAAGTTCAAGGAGAGCTCTTCATCATAAAGATCCAAGTGAAACAAGAGGTCCTTGGTGTCATCTTTCGATTTTTGTTATAAGAAAAACCTCATCTTGATGAGTTTAGTCCAGAAGCTCAACATGGAGATGACACCTCATCCATGCCTATTTCCTCTTTATTGGTTTCATGACGATGTGGAGATGAAGATAGACTGACAGTGCAATGTTTGTTTCGTCATCACAACCAAATATATCAACGAGATGGCGTGTGAAATGATGCCGCTTGACATATGTCAAGTCATCCTTGGGAACCCCTACCTTTGGGATCGAGATGTCATTTACTTCCATCGAGCCTAGAAGAATCAACTCTAGAAACAACAAGAAAACCCAATCAAAATAGGGCTGCCAAGCCTACTTCAGCCCCTTACATGTTGCCTAAGGCATGAATAACGTGAAAAGCATGGACATTACATCAAACACCAACCCTACGAACTATCCGTGATAGCGACACCGAAGCGATATTCGTTCACAAGAGTCAATCTAGAGCTTAACCTCATGCAGTCCACAACAGACCAGCATAGAGAAGAAAAGATTAAACACGAACGTGCAGGTAATATGCCACTGTCATGCACGAAAAGGGCAAGACAACCAAGATCGCAAGCAACACAAAGCAATAAGCTTTTATTAGGCATAAAATGCTCTTAAAAATAGGTTGTACAGTCACACACAAATGGGGTTCCAAAGGCAGGTGTAGCTAATGTTCACCTAGCACTTTCGTCGAATAGAAATCAAGCATACTAAAGACATTACATCACCTATCAGACATATAACCAAAGGCCCCATCTGACCAGGTACCACCCAAGGCTTAAAGGGTGAGATAGTTGACATTTCACACTGAAAGACCGTCAACTAAAAATAAAAAACACTTAACAGTTTGATAACCTTTACTCTTGATAAGAGATGGCCATAAGACATTATTAATCCATTCCACTCACATGCATCGCTTACATGTGTTTCGACAGATGAGCTGTCAATTCCCTTACTTGCTTTTGTAAGTTTTACATGGACTCTCTTATTTCATCCATCAACCATTTCAACTTGGATCTCCAACTAATCCAGTTGGGATTTCAACCCTCCTTACACAAACTCTACCACCTCAAAGCACTCCTCCCTTTCATTGAGATCCACCAACTTTCAGTTGATAATGTCAATCTGCAGCTCAAATTCAACCACTCTTCCTTCAGTTCTTTCTAAGTTATCCAAGTTGCCTTTTGTGTTGTGCCCCTTTTGTGAGAGAGAACTCTTCCTCCGTGGGAACATCGCCACAAATGTCATGCTCCTCTTGAGCGGCTTTGCTAGTTATTGTGTGGGTTCACATCCATTTCTTTGAAACAATCACGCAATGTTGCTCCCCCTCTTGAATAGTGGTTCTAGTTTTGCCATGCCATGCTGCCATAACAATTCGTTGTTTTCTTGTCACGCTCTTACACTACTTTGTTACGTCCTTAATTGAGATTGTTTAGGACATGGCACCGAAGTGATATTTATCCACAAGGGTCAACCGAGACATTAACCTCGTGGAATCCATAAAGGATCTCCACAAAAAAGAGAAGGTTAGAAAGGCAAATATGCAGATAATATGCCATCATCACACACAAAAAGGGCAAGATAACCGAGATTGCAAGCAACACAAAGCAACCAACTTTTGTTAGGCACAAAAGGGTCTTGAAAACAGACGATCACACAAAAGGGTTACGAAGGTAGGTGCAGGCCCAATGTTCCACCTAGCATTTTTGTCGATCAAAAAACGAGCACACTAAAGACGTTGCATTGCCCTTGAGACATAACCAAGGCCCCATCCGATCGATGCCACCCAGCAAGCACACTAAAGACAGTTGATGCTTCACACCGCAAGGCTATCAACTAGAAATCAGCCCATAGCACACGAGAACGGGACTGTTTTGGCTATTTTATCCTTCGTGCGACATCGTACAACAAAAACATTTACGAATTTTACAAGATAGAAACATAAAACAAAAACACTTATAACAAATCAAAATGGGGCTGACAACAGTACTTTCTACCCCGGACAAGTTGCATATGAGAAAACACCCGAAAACATTAAAAGGAAATGGAAAATAAAAACCAAAGCATCATGGACATGCGTTGGACATCTTAATTGCATGGCTCCATGACATGGCGCCTAGGCCCAAATGCGTGCTTGGGCCATGACTAATTGAAGGCGCCGATTTGGACCAGTTACCAAGTGCTCAGGCCTCACCTCACTAGCCTCTCTTAGGTGCCTAGGTGCCTGCTGAGCGCATGGACTTCGCTACTGACAACATTGAAATCAAGTAAATTCTTTTTAGAAACTTGAAAGAAGCTAAATACTTTTGGGATATATAGAACTCTAATTTTAATTTTGTACAAACTTGATACTTGTTTTGTAATATCTATAACCAACTAGTTTGGTTACCTATAAAATGTGCTACTAGCGGACTCACAGAACTCAAGGATTTTTTGATCCTTTTTCCTTGCAATTGATGTTGTGCAATTATTGCAAATTCAGTTAAGCAAGTCAATTTTGTGATTCCTTATAATTAAGATTAGTTTCAGGCCTGATGGAATGAAGGATTAATTAAACTGCGAAATGCCATTACCATATATCAGGTCAAATAGGACAATTCTCTATAATCAGATAAATCATGGCCACGAACCTTCAATGAGTCGGAACTTAGCTACCAGTTTTTTGCACAAGAAGGAATAAAGCCAGCAAAAAATCATCGTTGAAGAAATTTATGTGGAATTATATTAAAATCCAGAAAAGAGACAGCAGATAGACCAAATATTCTCTTCAAGATCTAAACATAAGGAGATCAACGAGAGGGGAGGAAAAACCTTGAACAAGCAGTGATCGATCCCAAGCTGGATGTCCCTAAAAGCGTCCCGGACCCTGCGGCGTTCGGGGGCCTGGTCGAGGTTGGCCTCGGCGACCATCCTCGCGAGGCGCTCGTCCACGCCCTCCCACCCCATGGGAACCGCGCTGAGCGCCACCGAGGCAGCGGCAGCTACCCTTCCGTTGATCCCCTTTTCCTCCCTCCCCTCTTCCCCCTCGCCCTCGGTCTTGCTCTTGTTATTGTGCTTCTGGCGGCAAGGGAACCCACCCCTAGTTAAGGAATCTATTACATGTCATTAGATCCAAAACAACGCAAACCCTCCTAAGTTACACTCAGAAATCAAGATTCACCCAGAAAACAACACATGTTCCTGGAAATCAAGATTCGAGAAGAAGAATAAATCATCCAGGAAAGCGAGAGGGGGGCTCATTTTACTTACCTCCGCGAGCGGCGCGTGGGGGAGGAGAGCGGAAGGCGGTGGATGGAGGAGGGCTCGCGGAGGACGACATACGATATGATACGACGACGATGATGATGCCGAGACTTCTGCTTATTATTTTATATAAAGTATTTATCTAAATATAAAATGAGGGAGATCGAAAGAACAAGGTAGAGTGGAATATCAAACAATTATTGTTAGAATAGTTTAGCAGTTCACACAGAGAGGGAAAAATCTTTAGATGAGAGTGTGGGCTAATATATATATATATATAAAGAAGGAGGTCATTGATTCAAGGACAGTCAAGTCAAATCAAAAGCAAGATTTACATATTAATGTTAATTTCTAAATATCTAAGATTTATATATAAATGAATAGTACATAACATAGATTCCTTCTTATTTTCAATGGCAGAGCAAGTCAAATCCAAAGCTGATAGATACTAGTTTTGGAATGACATGACAGATACATTTGGTTGTGGACACCCGGTCGTGATCAAGTGCAGGGTGGCCAATGCGCGATCGCCACGAATCCGTAGGTCTTAATTATCCTTGCCTGCTCTACTTTTCGTGCTTCCCTCACTAATTAATTAATTATAATTAAATTCCTCGCCGTAACTGATCCTTATATATTTAATAACGTAGCATGTAATTCCTGTTCGAAATCCACAAGTAAACGCTTCAGATTTTATGAATTATAAATTAAAATGGACGCCGAGGAGAGAATGCTGACCAGATGCAGCTGCTGCTGCTGAGATGGGGATGGGGTGAGGTTGTGTGATCACATGACTGCACCTCATCAACGAACGTTATCTGAAACTTAATGGTCAACGTTGATTGACCTGCTCAAACTTTCGGAATGCATGAAGAAGTCCCGGTGAGGCAGAGGCATCCAGTGGCAGCCGGCTGACCAAATGACAGATAAGAGTCCGCTCCGCACATATATCTCCGTAGCTGACGTTACTGCTCTCCCAACGTTATTAACTTTATCTTCTGCTTCGCTTTTGCCATGTTTTTGTACGTGGAGAACCAAATAAACAGAAGCATCTCTTTTGATATGGCCTCCTTACACAGTTCTCAGATTGATGCGACCTGCTTAGTAAATAGCAGCTGCTCTTTTGTTATGGCCTTGCATACACAAGTCTCGGATTGATGCGACCTGTCTCGCAAAATAAGTGGACCAAAAACGAGATACATGCTGGCATTATCTGCAAGGCCTTTCTTTTTCTCGTTTACCATAGATAGTTGACTTAGGACCCATATCTTTCTGCAGGAAATATTGCCTCATAAACTTGGAGAAAAAAAAATTGAAGTCGAACTAAGAGACATTTCAATTTTCAGAAAAACAATAATCTAGTATCTGATTCTTAAAGATAAGTACTTCATAGCTTTGATTATGGTGTGGCAGTATAGGAAGAGAAGAACAAAGAAAGATAGCTAAAATGCTGGGCTGGCTTTCTTCTTCTTAGCAGAGAAATTTATATTGGTCCAGGCTGCCGATCAACATATTAATCATCCAGTTGCGTGCCGGGTGCAGCCAGCTTGCAACTCTGAAATAGCAATATTTTCTTGCTTCTCTTTTCGTTTCTTCCTGCTAAATATGAAAGAGATCATCATCATGAGGAATGATGGCCTGTCCAAAAAATATATGGAATTACATGACAAAAATCAAATATCATGTTTACTGTATCGATTTACTTGTCCAACGCTATTGTTTTAGCCACAGAGCTGCTGGATGCAAACAATGATCCTGATATTCCCAGTACTGATAATAGCAAGCCGTTGCAGAAAAAACTGAGTCCAAAGCATCCGATGAACTAAAAGCAGACACTGCATAGTCTGTATTGGTTTTTTGTTTTTTCTCATGGCCTCTGTAATAGTTGAAATTGTTATCATGCAGCAAAAAAAAAAAATCGGATAAAGAGCTTAAAATGATGGACCTCTTGGAGAACAAACAAAAAAGCAATCAAGGCGAAGTTTGCAAAGTCTCGATAAAAGAACAAGTAAACGAAATTGCAGTGTCAAGCATTCAACTGGAACCTTCTAAGTTCGATGATCAAAGAAGATTATTGTTTTCCTGGTCGCTCTCCGCGACTTGCGCAACGAATTGCCAGATGAATTGAAGAAGACCATTAACACGCCGCTTTATAAGTTTCTAGAATTCCAAAATACAGCCGCGTCTCTTGGCTTTACCAATACTAAATGTGAGTTGACAATAGTAACCTATCCAACTTTCTTATCTAGAGTTCTTCGTATATATACATATATATGTATACATGTATACATATATGTATATAAATATATTTATGTATATATATGTATGTATATGTATGTATATATATATATATATGTATGCATATATATGTATGTATATGTATGTATATATATTTATATATATATATATATATATGAATATATGTATGTATATATATATATATATATATATGAATATATGTATGTATATATATATATATATATATATATATATATATATATATATATATATATTTATGTATATATATATATATATATATATATATTTATGTATATATATGTATATATAAATATATGTATATACATATATATATTTATATATATATATATATATGTACGTATAAATTTATATATATGTATGTATAAATATATATATAAATATATATGCATGTATACATGTATATATGTATATATATACATATATTTATATACATATATACATACATATATATATGTATATTGATATATTTATATATACATATATATATACATATATAAATATATACATGTACATAAATATACATGTATATAAATATATATATGTATATATATATATATATATATGTATATATATATATGTATATATATATATATATGTATATATATATATATATATGTATATA